AGGTGTGCGTAGTTCGTCCAGATTGGACAGTAAAAAAACTTTAAGATATTAAATTTTTATTTTTTATTTTGACAAATGTAACTTTTCAAAGTATTATGAAAGTAAAATATTTTGAATTTTCTTTTTACAAACTTTATGAAAAAAAATCTAAATAAAAATATTATTATTCTTTTCATTAAGTAATGCAAATTTTTTATTTTATTTTAAGAAATGTATAATAAATTCTAAAAGAAGAAACATTTTCGTGTTTTCTCTTCTTTTTTTTTAAATAAGATCAAAAGAAAAAAAAAATTCATTGCATTAGTCATACTAAAATGAGTCAACTTATAGAAACTTTCAAATAAATGCATTTTCATGTAGCACATAAAATGAGCTAAGTGGTCAAGTAAGAGAGGGATACTTGTCCTGGACGGACCCAACTCTTGTTTTGAGGCTCACTAAGTCACATGAATCGGAGTCTTCTAGGGATAACCGTGTCTATGTTCTAGTTTAACTAGGTTCAAACTGGAATAAGATAGGTATCTAGACTGACTTACTCGAGTAGATAACTCGAGCCAAGGAGGGGCAACTTATCGGTAGCAGCGCTATTCCGACTTCATTACTGATCCACCCTTGCCTAACATGTGTGACTAAAATCCTTCACTGGGTGCCCAGACACTCCAGCTTTATCTCAAAAGAAATTGGGATGCATAACTGCATTCCCTACTACCCTATTTTTAGAGACTCAGATGGTGTACGAGAAGACAAATTATATACAATTCAACAATATCAAAGCGATAAATGAGCAGCAAGTAGCACATTAGGTCATCAAAACAATATATCCAATGAAATAATATAATAAAATAAAGTAAAAGTCAAATATGCAAAGCTCGAATTCTGGTTATTCTCCAGCAGAGTCGCCAGAGATGTCACACCCCTTTTCGCGTACGGTGGCGGGAAGATAGGGTTTTTCCAATTTAAGCGACGGTATTGATTAAGGGATTATTTTATTGTTTCAGAGTCACCACTTGGAATTGAGTTATGGTGTTCCAAGTCACCTTTTCGAATCCCTAACCAATAGGAAATGACTCATTTAGTTTTGGTCTATGAACTAGAAATTCAGATAAGGAATTTTGTTGACCAAGGGGAAGGTATTAGTCATCCCTCGAGTCCCGTGATTCTAGCACGATCGCTTTTATTGACTTCTACTTACTTTTAAATTATTTTGGATATACTTTATATGCTACAGCTTCATTCATATCTTTATTGTTGAACTTTTATTTGGTCTCAACCTAGATGCATAATCGCATTCTTGGTCTTGACATTTAGAGACATAACTGTCTTCTTCGCATCTCATCTAATAATTGTCTATAAGTCTTACTTTAAATTAATAAAAATTATTTATCTTTTTGAACAAGGTGCGTCACCGCATCCTTGAGTTTCTTTTACTGTCTCAAAAAAGATGTGTAACCACATTCTTAATTGAAACAAATATTTATTAATATGCCTAAAACTCATCTAGTCATTAGAAAACAAATATTCTTCCTTTATACATAAAACTAAATAAAGTAAAATAAATCTAAATGTTGAGGATACAATATATAATTCGGGCATCATTTCTATATCTTTTATTTTATATTTTAATATTTATATTTTTATTACTCTTAAAGTTAATATCAAAATTAAGTATTAACTTTCAAATCAAATAAAACAATAAGGAATTGTTAAAAATAAATATAATTTTTGTTTGATAAAATTAAACAACAATAATTTATTTATTTATTTGTTTGTTTTTTTATCCTAACTATACCTACTTTATCATTATCATCTGAATCAAGATAAGAACAATGTTATGACTCGTTTATTTTTAAGAGATCACAACTAACAATGGGAATTAGATAAATAAAAATAATTATCGATTAAATCTACCTTCATACATTAAATAGAGAGATATAACAACTAACAAATTAATCATTTCAATCAAACTAATGAATAAAACAACATATAAGAAAACTTGTCATAAAATTACATCAAATTCCATAAATAAATTAAAGAGATAGGGAAAAGTTGAATACCGCAAAATCTTGACTGAACCTCGATTAGAACACCCACTAATTTTTGTAGATGATTCGTTATGGTATATGTGTTGTGTTTAAATAAAGTAGTAATGAGAAAGGAAGAAAATATGTGAATGTATTAGTGAATATTTGAAAGAAAAATAAACTAAAACTAAAATGGAATGTTTGTTCCTTCTTTTTTCTTTCTGGCGTGGGTTCTCCTTTTTGCAGAATCGTTCGTCTGCCTCTCTCCTCCCTTGTATTGTTGTCAAGTGTAGTGTATATGTGTGGGGTTGAGGGGAGTGGGGGTAGTATGTGTGTCGTGTATAGTGTAAGTATGTGTGTGTATATTGGGGGTAGTGGAGGAGTAAGTGGGGTGAGGGTAGTGGTAGGTTATTTCTTTTATTTTAATTACATATATATAAAAACCATAAAACTATTAATTAATTATTTTGAATTAATAAAATATAAGAAAAGTCAAATAGCTAGTCTAAAAATATAATTAAGAAACACTAGCTTATTTATTAAATCTAAATGAAAACATATATTTTTTGTAGTTTTTCAATCTTTTAAAATAAACTTACTAAAATACGATGAAAAATAAAATATTTAATTTATATATAAAAGCAATATTTATGTACTAAAAATGGTGTAATACCTTAAATTCGGTCAAAAATTACGTGTCTACAGGGGTAGAGTGTTGTCTTGCCTTGCTTTTGTTATCTATCAACATATGTTGTGTATTCTGTTTCGATTATGACGTTATTTTGTTGTTGATATTGTTTGTCTTGTAAACTCTACACCTCATTTTGTATCAATTGGTATGCTTTTTTCTGTTCTCTTCTTCTTTTATTTGAGTTTGATGCTCTTGAGTTGAGGATCTTTCGAGAAAATTCTCTCTACCTCCATGAGAAAATGATAAGGTTTGTGTATACTCGACCCTCTCCAAAACCCATTAGTAGAATTTCACTAGGTATATTGTTGTTTATGATGAACTTGGAAAGAAACTCAGTTTATAAAGAAAATGGTCAAATGCCCCCTAACCTATATTCGAATTATCAACTACACACTTCAAGTTTACAGGGGTCCTATCACCCCCCTCCCCTGAATTGTTTAAAATTGAAACTATTATCTCCCTAAATGCTTACTTGGCAAAGTGAGTGTATCTCACTCTCTTAAACAAAATGAAGACCAAAAACCAGTATTAAATTTTTATTTTTATTTTCTTAAATATATGTATATTTTTTCTTTCTTTTTTTCTTCTTCATAGCAATTGGATTGAGCATCAATGGTAGCACCAAATTTCTTCACTATTTTGAAACCATTGCTATCACTACATTAATGATACACCACAAATCGTTTATAGCAATTTCACTCATTACTCTCCACAATCAAGAATTATATATCAAAAATCTTTGATTTATGTACCAAAAATCTTTTAAATCAAAGCAAATTTAAGCTTGGATAAGCTTAATACAGGGATACCCAAATAATTTTCTTCAATAAACTTTGAATACTAAGATAATTTTTTATCCTATATTTAATTCCTAGCAGACCCACTACTAATTTTAATAACTGGACAATTTCCAGCGAATCTGAAAAGTTCAGCACGTGTTCTTCATCTTCTTCGTTCCACTGTTCTGAAAAACCACTCTAAATCTTCTCCAAATTGCCCTAAATTTTAGATATAAGTTTTCCTCAATATTTCGATTCTTTTGATATATTATCCACTCAAAAAGGTGCTCATTGTGGCAAGTCGAATGTTTAGCTCAAGCTTTTGAACTAACTTTAATGGAGGTTTCAAGTTAATGCTTCGCATTTTAAACCATGAGCTTCAGTTTTCAATTCTCAAACATAAAGAACTCTTCAAACCATCTCAAAGTTGCTCCCACTTCAAGAATATAGATTCAATAATTTCATATGAAAGCTTGTTGATTTCCATGAAATTCCGGTGTTTATTTAAATCTAAAAATCGCAACCATAAACTCAATCAAACTCAATGTATTTAGCTTCAAATAATTAGCAACCATCTATATTATCAACATGTTTCAAATTTGAAGATCCAACATACATTCATAAACTTATGTTTTGACCTTTAATTGTTTTTTTAAAAATAATAAGTCAGAAAGGGAGAAGAATAAAAAAAATTAAATAAAATTTTCACATTGCGTGAGTTTCACCCATTAGCATAGATGTGATAATGACATTTTAAGGGTGTGATAATTTCAATTTTAAACAGTTCAGATGGGTGATAGTACTCCCGTAAAGTTAAAGTATGTAGTTGAAAATTCAAGTATAGATTAGGTAGGCTTTTGACCACTTGCTCTTAAAATTATGAATAAAGGGTGCTTTTATAATATATAAAAGTTTAAGTTTATTTTTAAACTTAAAAAATTCACAAATAATAAAATTTTAACCAAATACTAATTTTTTCTAGTAATTGCAATTTGAATTATTGCCAAAAATATTTAACAAATAATGATAAATTGTGTGGCCTAACAATTTTTGTCAGGTTCATTTCCAAATATTTTTATAAATGTCTATAGCCAAATGGGTCATACTAGTTCAACTTGTTGACTACATGAATTTTCACTTGTTGAAAAAAATTTGGTTCCATCTCCTCTTTTCCCTTCCCCTACCTCTGAAAAATATAATTTTTAAAAAGTAAGCATGACTAAAGTACTATTTAGTTCCTACTTGAATTTCAGTCATACATGAAAAATGCCGACACATAACAAAAGATTAAGCCAATTATTACATACATGCCTTAAGTTAGCCTTAAAGGCCATAATTTGTGAACAAGTAACTGTTGCAGATTGAGTGAATAATTTGAGAGATCTCAACCAATTTGTGTGAATATTTTTTTGTTACAACACTACTGTTGCCTGCAACACACTAGTAAAGCAAGAAATTGTTATTTCCACAAAGCATCCTTCATACAAAAGTTTGATATTATGGAACAAAAGCGACTACAGATATATCAAAAAACATTATTGGCATAGATTCCAGAAGCTCATTGTAGAGCCACAACACTTGGGAGGCAGTAGTGATAAGCTTACAGAGCATTGAGGATTTCATCAGCACCGGAGACTGTGAACTCCCCTCCAGATTCAATGTTGGCTACTTTCACCTCAAGGTCATCAACCAAAAGAGCATACCTTCGTGATCGAACACCAAGCCCCTTATCTGACAGATCAAGCTCCAAACCAAGGGCATGGGTGTATTTTCCAGCTCCATCAGCAAGAAATTTTACATGTTTGTTCTCAGGGTAAGTTTTTGCCCAGGCCTTCATCACAAAGGGGTCATTGACTGCACAAGTAATGCAAACATGGAATAAGATATCATGACGGTGTACACGCATCTAATGGGCATGGGGTGCCGGTTGATGTTATGGATAGTTGCACACTTGTACAAGGCTGGTTATGAATAAAGTTCCAATATTTATCGTGCATATTAGGATTATGTTGATGTGATCATACATTTATTAAATATAATATTTGAGCATACATAAATATGTCTTAGGGGTGGCAAAATTTAACTCAAACCTGTCCAACCTTTGCGGTGATTCTACGGGTTGGGTCATGGCCTGTTCTTGAGTTGACCCAACGTGTTGTAACCCAAACTAACCCATCTTCTACATGGGTCATTTTGGGTCAATAATCAACTCATAAACTCAATAGCAATGTAACAACGTTCAGCTTCAGAGAAGGTGAACAACATCCAGTGGATCTACTGCTTTTGCTTCTGTAAGCTCTATCATTATATGATTGATGAAAAAGGTAATTTTCCAGTTGTTATTCTTTTACATAGTAAACTTTTTTTATGAAATTGTTCGAACACAGAACTGATTTTGGGATTTTGTTCGTCGTCTGATCTTGGGTATTATGGATACAATTTATTTGTTTTTTAAAAGTAATATATATTTTATTCAGATACAGCTCTCTGCAATTTGAGTTCTATCTTTATTTAAAGTGAAAGTCATGTGGGAATTAGTGGTAGATCAAATTAGTTTAACAAACTGAAGGTCATCTTATCACTGCATTATCTACTTGGGCGGGTTAGGTTATAACCTGCAATTTAACCCATTATGACCCAACCCGTTTGGGACCCAAATATATTTTGAGCCGGTTGGGTTGTGACCCATTCACTAACCTAACCCATTTTGACCCACCAAAATTTGACTCAGCCCACACATTTGCCATCCCTATTCTTACTCATACCATTTTGATATGTGGATTACTTGGACTATATTAGTGCACTTCATTATTCTCATCTATAATAACTGCACAGGTTAATTTTCAGAAAGTACTTTTGTATCAAGACCTCACCTCTATTTCCTTGGGCACCATCAGTGATATAATTGAGTACTTCCCGTACTCACCCCCTCACTTTTTTTCCCTATGAGCAGATTTAAATTTGAGCACCAATGAACCGCGTGAGAGAGTTCTAGAGTTGGCTATAGTTGGTGGTGAGCTATCAACTTTCTTCGCGATGGCTAAAGTTGTATAACTTTACTATATAGTTCTTTACGGAAAGTGATGTACTATTCGGCTCATAGTAGCTCATGATTCAGTTTGTACACAATTTTGAGGATTCTTTTTGGTATTTTTGCCTTGTGGCTTGTATCACTTGTGAATTTTATCATCTACAGTATTCCCTTGTTTAGACTTTTTTTTTGTGCAGAACCTAAGTGATGTGATAAAAGACGAAGTTGACCAAAATAATGGGCAAAAATTTAAGTTTCTTAAAACTACCTATAACACACTAATTTGGTGCTCTATATGACCCCAATTAACGGACCAAGCCTTAACGGCTGTCAAGGTTAATGAAGCCTATAAGCGAACTAATTTAGTATGCTACATAACTCCTAAATCATTACTCCGACACTTGGTTATTAGGGATGTTTAGCAAGTTCATAGTTATTTTGTTTAAAACAACTAACTAATATCTTATTAAGTAATCAAATAAACTACCAACTAACTAATCTTAAGCCCTATAATATAGCACATTTGACTAATCTCGATGATGATCCCTAGTGCTATCTTTTGGTGTTTATGGACAGAGAGGAACAAAAGATGTTTTTGATGGAGTTTCAACTGCTAGAAATCTTTTGCGAGGCAGATGTCTAGTTGGCCTTTTTAGCTGGTCCAAATTGACCCCTATAAAAAATGCTTGATGCCTTTAAATGAATCCACTTACTTCATCCCAAAAAAAAAACACCTAAACCTATCAAAAGAAATCTAGTGTTGACTAATATTTTGCTAGTTACAAACAAAAAATAACCAAGTCCAGGAGTTATATAGCACTCTAATTTAGTGCGCTGACCATTGACCTACTGGACAGCTGTCAAGGGGTGGTACGCTAATGAGGTTATAAAGCGCACTAAACTAGTGCACTATATGTACCTTTGGAACCTTTAGCTTTGCTCATTATTTCGGTCAACTTTGTTTTCTTTCACGTCACTTAGATTCCAGACTCATTTTTATGTATTGTTGGGAATATCGATGTTGTTTTGAATTGCTTGGTTCTCTCAACATGGGACATTGAAACCAATCACGTGGTTCGCTCAACATGGGACATTGAATACCAATCAGAACTTTGTAATTTTGACAGTGAGACCAGGAAGGCACCACTATTCTGGCAATTTATATAGCAATCATGACATTTGACAAATATAGTCAAGGGAAAAGGTGGTAGTGGCAATAAGATATGATCAAGTAACTCTGCTGATGGGGAGGAGCTGACGTACCAAGACGTGCTAATCTGACAATCTTAATTGGCCCAACTTTTAACTCAACAAGCCAGCTCAGGATTCAAGTATACTGATATTTTGCTTGCTATCTACACACACCTACATTCTTTTCCCCTCCATTACTTATAAATTGCAAAAGATATCAGCAGAGTAAAACAAATAGTGAGAAAAGAAACTTGTCCCTACTTCTGAGCCTTCTAGCTGTGCTTTTTTCCCTCTAAATTATGCAACAAATGAAGGGTGGAAACTTTGCAGAACTCCACATTAAGCTCACATATAGGAAAAAAGTGAAGAAGACATGAAGCATGATGGTGGTTACGCAATGGTGAACTAGACGGTGAGGGTAGTTCTTTAAGAACAATAAGAAGAGCATTAACTCCCGAGACTTTCAACCCACCCCAGAACAAATTCTCAAGTCCTTGTGCTTATTGTTACGAGTAAAACAATGAAAAATCATATATTGTTTTCCAAAGCTTTAAAATGCAATGAGGAATAAATTTTGAATTTTTTGAACCAAAAAGAAAAAAGAAATACAAAGCTTCCAGTCCATCTTATTTTAGGTAATTATGAAATTTCATCACAAATATTCAACTTTAGTTCATTTTAAGACTCTCAACAAAATTTATTGAGAACTTGATTGGTGGTATCTTCCATATAACCACGTGAAATCTTTCCAACAAATATATTTTCTGCAAAAGAGCCAAAAACTCAAACCATAGGAACTTTCAATCGCTAAGAGGCTTTCTCAGATCTTAAGGGTAAATGTTTACTGATCACTAAGTCGAATCAGCAAGTACATGAACCACTGCGAGAACAGACACCGACAGTGGCGGAGCCAAAATTTTCAATAAAGGGTTCAAAATCTGAAGAAATAGACCTACGAAGTAATCCAAAGAGGTTTGACATCTGCTATATATACCTAAAAAAATAAAATATTTTAACCATGTATAAATAATGCCGAAGAACCCCTAGCAATAAGGTGGCTCCGCCACACTGAACAAAATAAAAATCATAGAAAAACCCAGACAAGATTAAAAAAAAAACAAAAAAAAACTTGTTGGAATTGTAAACTTTAGCCATAATTTCAAGGGGGGAGGGAAGTTAAACAAAGAAACAACAAAAAAATAAAGATAGATGGAGAAGAAAGATACCACTGATGCAGAGGATTTCATCGACGTCCTTTGACTTCAACTCGTCAGCCTTTTCAATAAAGCCAGGCACATGCTTCATGCTGAATATAAGAATTTCACAGTTCAATATCATAGATCGGATTGTGGATTCATTAGAAAAAAGGAAGAAATAAAATAGAACCTGCAAGTGGGAGTGAAAGCTCCAGGAACGGCGAAGATAATGACCTTCTTGCCCTTAGCAAGTGAGTGTACTGAGACGGTCTGCATCTGATCTTGCTCGTCGAAGTAAGATACGGTACCATCGGGGATGACGTCACCAACGGCGATCCGAGCCATTTTTCTGCTACTTAGGTCGAGATGAGATTGCGCAGTGATGACAGATATTTGTTGAGCTTCCTGCGAAGGTGAAGGCCAATTATATATAAATTAAGTTTTGAGGTTCGTGGGATTTATATATATTATTATAAATAATTAAAGCTAGGTTAATTTGGAAAAATTACATAAATACATAACTTATTTATTATATTCTCTAAAATTTCTTATCATTTGCAAAAATTACAAAAAAAAATATATCGAGATATTCTGGAATGTATTTAAATTCCACCAAATTTAGAGAATTTTTGTAATTTGAAAATGAGTAAGGATATGATATAATTAACTTTTAATACTATGAAATTTGTGTAAAATTTACTTTAATAGACTCACATTTTTAAAATTTAATATATTTATTTATTTTTATTTTGAATAAAATAATTTATAATTGCATACATATTCATAATTTTTTTTAAAGAATTATATTAAATTACATCATAAACGGACAAAGAATAAAAGTTATCAAGTCCGGCTAAAGTTGATAGGCATTTAATTGACGACATCATAAATGGATATGTACAGTACTCCCTCCGTCCCTTTTTAGTTGTCCACTTTAGAAATGGCACACAGATTAAGGCAATAATGATTAGCACAGTGAAGTTATAATTTTACCCTTATGACAACTTTTCACTTCAAAATTACAACCACTTATTTGAATTCAAGTGAAATAAATTGGAGGGAAACAACATACACTTTTACAATTTTCAAGAAGTGTAAATAAGGGTATAATAGGAAAAAATTTGTTGTCCTTTCTTGATTTGTCAAAATGGACAACTAAATAGAGACAATTAAAAAAGGAAATATGGACAAGTAAATAGGAACGGAGGGAGTAGTAGTTATAGGTTGGACGGCAGCTTCTTCCCTAATCTAAAAGACTTGTTTGGCAGGGAGTATTTTTTACTTTCTTTTTTTCAATTATCATTATTTATTATTTATAAATTAGTATTTAGCTATAAAAATTTCAAATGTAATTTAAAGTTGTATTCTAAATTTGAAAAACACTCTAAATCTCTTTTCACTTTTATTATATATGTTTTTCAAATTTTATCCTAACTTTTTATATTTTGAAAAATAACTCTATTTTGAAATATATTTCATGTTTAAATCATATTTTAAAAGTACGTTCGAATAGCTAGGGGTGTATATAGACTGGATTGGTTTGGGTTTTTTAAATACTAAATCAAATTATTTGTGCCGGATTTTTAAATCTATAAACAAAATCAAACCAATAATACTCAAGTTTTTCATCCTCGTTTATTTTCGGGTTTTAGGATTTTCTCAATAAAGTATTCATATAAATATAATTAACTTGTGGTTCAAAAAAACTAAACTTAGATTATGTATTTCAATTGAGTAAACCATTGTAAAACTAAAGAAGAATACTCAATATTATAATTTTTCTCAATGTTGAATTGCTTTTTTTTTTTTGTTAGTTTTAGAGTATTGATTTGAGCTCTATTAAAGTGGCTAATATATATGGACTATAATTTTTATTGGATCATATAAAATTTTAAGTCAAATTTAAAATAATAAGTTAAAAAATAAAATTTATGAAAATGTATAAGAAATATTTATAAATTATATCAAAGTAAATAATTTTGTATATAAAATAAATTTTAAAAATTATATATATAATGTCGGGTTGGTTTGGTCTCGAGTTGTCCTTTTTAAGTTAAAACTAAACCAACTCAAGTATAATCAATGTTTTTTTCTCCAATACTAAATCAACTCAAACTAAACCGCTAGCCAAAAGAAATTTCTAGATTGCAATTGATGTGATTTTCAGTTTGATTTTATTCTCTCCTTCAAACAATCAAATATAATGCAAAATTATAATCAAAACTTTACATTTTTTGTAGTTTGATCAATAAAAGATTATCATGACAGTTATTTATTGAAGTTCGCGGGAGGAAAGGGGGATTTATATCTCTCTACTCTTCTCGTAGCTTGATCGATCAAGGATTTTGATGACAAATATTTGTTGAGGTTCATGCGAGGAAAAGGTGATATATATATATATATATATTACTATATATAATAAGTGGGAATATCTATTACTTAGCACATGACAAGTGTTGGATGATATGTGCTTGATAGTGTTGTACATTCTTCTTTTATGGTTGTACCTTTAAAATTCATATTATTGGACAATTTAACACCATTAATTACCTACTACTTTATTAGCCAAAAATTTTGACCTCATTTGGGCCCATTTATTATTTATATGTTTTCAATTTTCAATATATGTTGTCTATCTAATTCTTTTTTTCAACCTTTTATTTTAAACTTCTTGAAATTTAATTACCTATTTATTACTCTCTTTATGCATTTTTAATTGTTATGATTTCCTTTTTAGAGTCAAACTATAAGAATTTTAACTAATATTTTACGATGTGTTTTTTCATCATATTCATAGGCAAAAAATTACAATTTATAGTACTTTTTGTATAGATTTTGCATATTTAATATATTTTTTAAAAATATCGAATTAATACAATCTGATTTAACTTTGAAAATTAGTCAAATGGACTTTCAAAAAGCGCAACATGACAAATACAAGTGGACGGAGAGAGTATATTTTAGCTACAAAATATATTAGAGGTACAACTTTTTAAAAAATTTAAATTTTTATTGCGTTGACTCTTGAAATCTTATCATTGTCATATGAATTTGAACAAATTATATATTATTAAAAGTTACATAAAAGATGCTATAAATCACAATAATTAGCAATTAAAAATATTTTTAAATCATATAAGAAATTTGGTTGACTAATTGGAATAGAATAAGTAACATGTACTATTTGAAAATAACGTCAAAATTTCTAGAATTCACAATAAATTAACAACTGAAAATATTTATGATTATTCACGTGAATTGAAACATGAGTAACCTATATTATTCAAAACTAATGCAAAAATACTATAAATCACAACAATTTAATAACTTCAAATATATTTTTAAGAAAACATATAAAAAATCGACGATCTTCAAATTCCATTTATATCACATAAATTAAAACAAAAAAAAATTAATATTTATTGGGCCCGTGCTGGCACAGTCACCAAATATCTATATATATGTGTCACAAATGGAAAAGTCCCAATCAAGGAAGCAACATATATCATTTACAAATGACTTAAAAAACATTAAAAATTACAATAATTAACAATTTAAAATATTTAAAAGCTATATAATACAATACGTTGACTCTCAGAATTCTATCAGGCTCACATATATTGGGACAGAAAAAATAACACATATCATTTTAAAATTACCAAAAAAGTATTATAAATAATAATAATTAACAACTTAAAATATCTGAAAGACATTTTAAAAGGGTTAATTTTGTAATTTTATCCATATCACATAAATTAGGACAAAGTGACCAGTAATGTACGTTATTTCAAAGTTACATAAAAATATCATAAATCACAATAATTAATAACTTAAAATATTTTTAAAAAAAGTATGAAAATTTGGATGACTCTCCAAATTTCATTTGTGTTACATAAATTGAGACAACAAAAATAACATATATTGGGTCCATTTTAATTTATTTGACTTATTTTTTATTTTATTTTTTATATTTAAAAAATGCATAAAAATACTATAAATCATAATAATTGACAATATAAAATATGTTTTGAAACAAATACAAAAAATTCCACTGATTCTTGAAGTGAATCTATCGTAAAAATACTATAAATTATGATAATTGACAACATAAAATATTTCAAAAATGTTGTATGTGGGTAGTCTTATTATGCCTTAAATAGCGTCAAAGAAAGTACATATTTGTGATAAAAAAAAACTTATTCCTTTATCCATGCAAATAATCGCTTCAAAAACTCGGTTATTAGCCTCAAAACATACCATTTATATTATTATAGCACGGGCCACATTATCTAATATATATTACTCTTATTTAGAAATGGGAGTTTGGAGGACCAACATTGCACTAAAGAGTTGGACTAAAAGCTATAGAAATTGTACATTGAGGCCCACCAAAAAGATCAACTATTCTTTTTTTCTACTTTCCATTCTCCCCTTTTACTCTCTTTAGTTTATCTTTCATCTTAAATTTTTCATAGATCTTTAAAATATTTTGAATTATTAATTATTATGAATTATAATGTTTTGATTTTTACGTAGTTTACAAATATATAAATTTCATTTTTAAAAAATTGAAGATATCATACGCAAATTTATGGTCAAACTTAAACTATTTGATTCTTGAGAAATAAAAAGTGTCACATAAAATGGGACAGACGAAGGATAACTCTCAATTAAATTTATTTCACTTTTTAGTTTCCATTTTTAACATAATTTTTGAAGTTGGATTTCTACGAATTCTATAGTAGACCCATTTAAATTTGATTTTTTTGTTTTAAATTAGAGAACTTGGCCGCACTTCGCACGATCATTAAAATTAAATATTTTTGATTAATTTTATATTTACTCTGTTGTTTAATCGTAATATTATTATTTGTTTTAATAATATGAAGATTGTGAAAAAAATAAAGCTTCACAAATTTTACATCTATTAAATGAGGAAGAATATATTTTTTATCAAATAAGTTAAAATATATTTGCTAATAACAAATTCTTCCATTGCATGAAGTTGATCCTTTAATATATAATATATATTCCGGTGTACCATTCTCCTTAAATGTGTAAGAAATATCTCATAATGTCAAATAACACTGTAATACTCCCTATGTCCCTAATTACTTGTCCACTTTTAAATTTACACATTTATTAAGAAATCAATTAATGACATAGTGAGTTTATCATTTTACCCCTATTAATTATGAAGTAGATGAAAAGTTCTGCAATTTTCAAAGTACTCATTTAATTCAGGGTATAATAGGTAAAAAAAATGTTCTTTCTTGATTTGTCAAAATGGACAAGTAATTAGAGACAACTATAAAAGGAAAAGTGAACAAGTAATTAGGGACAGAGGGAGTACTAAACAAATGCATCAGCAAATGAAATTTATATTAAAAATATATTGAATGATGACGTAATGATACCTTCATAGAATTTTCT